GATATTAACAAAACAAAGTGTGCATGACTAATAATCTAGATGTATGTCTATGACTTGCGTGCAAATAAAATCAATTTGCATATGCTCAATCAATGCGCGTTGTGTACTTACTGTTCTTCTATGCATTTTTATATACTATTTTTAAAAAACAAGGGTAGCGTATCTAAAAAATCTTGACACAGGCCAACCTTAACCATGTCCGGCTGAATCAGGCTGGACATTAAGCGCGAGGCGTCTTCGCGTGAATCGTTTAATATTTTAATTATTAATCGTTAACAAAACTATTGATATTCATAAAGTTATCCACTAAAATCACTTTATTATTCTTAAGTACATGCCATTTCAATATAATTCCGTGCTGTAATTACGATTTGAAACAAAAAAAGGGTTTTAAAATAGACACTGTTTTGGATTTCTTTCTCGATCGAGCAAATTATGAGTGTAATGTGTCGTGCTTTGAATCTTTAATACCGGTCGATAGGGGATGTATCTATGACATATATATTTTTAAATTTAAATATAGTATCTTACTATTTAAAATTAAATTTACAACAGCCAATATTGGGATAACCCGCCGTTAATGTAGGGTAGTTGTTTTTCTTACGCCGCCGCTACATGGCATTATCGAGATCCTGCTTTAGAGCGCAGTCGTGGACTTCCCTTCATATACAATATGTAACGTAATTAACGCACACCCTCAGACACCCCAATTAGTATATTATGTTATAATCATAATACATACACTGAATTTTTAGTTAAACATTTTTATGCACTGATTATTTATCAAATTAGTTATACTAATTCCGGAAGAATGTTGTGGTCACAATACAAATCCACGAACGCAAAGACTTTAACGTGCTTGAAATAAAGTTCATTTTTTCTTTATTTTTATTGAATGACAGAATTAGTAATAATAAAAATAAAACTGCACTCTTAAAAGTCTTATTGCCTTAAGTTACGGTCCATTTCAGTTTGTTTTGACTGTACAGATTTAGTGTGACTGTAATTTACGTAGTTTTAATTATTTTTGGGATAAAAAATTACCTATATTAAAAATGATAGGAATCGATTCAGTAAACGATTCTGAACAAACTACTTTCTCAAAGTGCGTTAATTATGTTACATGTTGTATATTTATACCCGCAGGCACAGCGTTCTTGATGATTCCATTATCAGTGATGCAAGTGGTAGGCAAGCACATATTTTCAAATATTTGTTATTAAATTTAAAAAAGTTTTGGATATTCTTGTCATTATAAAACAAAAATTTGTGCTTTCCTTATCCTTTCTTAAATTATTCTTAAACTTACCTAAATTAATTGTATAAATGCTGGTTGAGAGCCAACAATTGAAATAGTAAATTCTAATATTATAAAGGATTATTTTCCATTGATTCAACAAATTCTTCTCTATACATTCGATCGGTTGAATAGACCTTCCTAATTTAATATTCGCTAATCCGACAGCAACGCTACTACGAGAGATTACCTACGTAATCTTCTTTTTATATATACAAATCAAATGCTGTCGGTTAGTCTCGCTAAAATTCGGAAACGAAGTTTAAATGCGACGTTTAAAAACTCAATTGGTCCCGGTTCTACCACGTGGTAGAGCTATGCTGCAACTGTATTGTGGTTGCAGCACGAATGGGTCAGCTCAACCGGGGTAGCATCACGCTCTCACAGAATATCAGCGTAAAATAGCTGCTGTGCTGAGTTTCGTATGGTGAGTGTAGAGAACCGGAGACCATTTTTACCGGAAATAATGTATTCCTTCTCTGTCCTCGAGGCTGGCAACGCAACTGCATTTTGATTTTTAATTGAAGATAAATGTACATGTCTAGGCCATGGCATCCACTTAACATCAGGTGGACTATGTGCTCGTTTGTCACCCTTATACTATTAGAAAAAAAGATGGCGCTGTTGTCGAGATCCAGAAGTCATCCATGCAAAGCCGGGGCGGCATCGTAGATTATTAACAACTGAGCATTAAAATCGTCCTCTTGAATGCGGCTTTTGTCTTCATATGTACCTACTTTTATATTCTTCAATAATTACATAGTGTAGTATATAGCCCTATATAGTATTTTAATAATCTCCCCTTTTGTAGTGTTCGTATAGTCATAATTCTGTTAAAGCATAATAAAATAAGTATTCATATAGCACTGATTTCGGTAAGTCACTGGTTGGACACACTGAAAATCAGCGCCATGGAAAAAAAAATTCATGGCATTATGCTGAGTGTGCTCCTGTTCCCAGATGACGCCTTGACACATACTAGTATAGGTATTGTATAGTTTGTAATATGTAGCATATTGTAATTTGTATTGTATAGCCAATATTATTTGTAAATTATGTGTTTTTTTTTTATGTTATCTGTGATGGCGTCATTTTGGAGAATAAACCTTGCTTTCTTTCTTTCTTTCTAGTGATATAATAATTAAAATCTTGTATGTTTTATAGGCAAATCAAAACGGCGGGGTTTTTAATATATTAAAATAGTAAATACAAAAAATCTACTTTATATCCTATGTTACTTCCACAACTAATATAATTGTAACGAAAAACATTACCCTCCTTCTAGCACAGTCGGGTAAAAACGTGATCTAGCTTCCCTAAAAGTTCCCTAAAAGTAATAATAATACTAATATAATTTAGATTCTGGAGTATAAGTAACAAAAAAAATAATAATAATGGTGATGATGGTATACACAACTTTTGGCTGAAATGGATAACAAGTAGCCACGTGCGTTTGGCTGCACAAATTCAAGAAGCCATAGAGTGCTGTGAGCTCCCGAGACTTCTTACAACTGGTATTACCCACTTACTATATAAAAATGGAAACACCACGGAACCTAAAAATTACCGACCTATAACATGCCTTTCAACTGTATACAAATTAATAACTGCAATTTTGAATATCAAAATCTATAAACATTTGGAAAATAATAACATTCTTTCAACTGTACAGAACGGATGTCGGAAAGGGTCACATGGTTGTAAAGAACTTCTTCTCATTGACAGCTATTTGCCGACAAGTCTTTCGTAATCGCAAAAATATGTCCGCTGCTTGGGTGGATTACAAAAAGGCATATGACTCTGTTCCACATACATGGCTAAAGAGAGTTTTAGAAATATATAAAATAGATGACAAAATTTGTAAATTTTTAAGTAAATCAATGGGTCAGTGGAACACTGTCCTAAATCTACCAGGTGAGTGGCAAAGTAGTTCAATAGACTCTATAAATATTAAACGGGGTATATTCCAGGGCGATAGTTTGAGCCCAACTTTGTTTTGTTTAGCCCTGAATCATTTAAGCACTGCTATTGAAGAATCCGGATTAGGGTTTCGGTTCCGAAAAGAAAACTCACCGATTTCACATCTACTTTATATGGATGATCTCAAAGTATTCACATCAAAAGAGAGTAATCTACTATTATTGTTGAAATTAACACATAGTTTCAACAATGATATTAGAATGGAATTTGGAATAGATAAACGTGCTGTCATCAACGTAAATAGGGGCAAAATTAAAGATTGTAATAATTTTGTAATTACAAATGACTTACATTTCAGTTCTCTTTCTGAAACAGAAACCTATAAATACTTGGGCATGGCAGAAGCGCTAGGAATTAATGACAAAGATATTAAAGAAAATTCAAAAGTAAAATTTATGTCAAGATTAAAAAAAGTTATCAAAAGTCATTTATCCGGCGGAAATAAAATTAGAGCATATAACTCCTAGGTAATACCTAGCCTTCTATATACTTTTGGTGTTACAAGATGGTCTCAAACGGAATTGAATGACTTAGATAGACGAGTCCGTACATTAATGACTACGCACAGAATGCATCACCCACGATCATCGGTCATGAGGTTGTATCTTCCGTGAAAAGATAGTGGACGGGGCTTATTAAATATTAAAAACCTACACAACCGTGAAGTATACAATCTCAGAGACTATTTTATTAAAAAAGACACATCACACATTCATAGTGACGTAGTGATTAATGACAAATCATTAACCGCGCTTAATATGTCGGCAAAGGACTGGCAGAGGCCTCATACTATGACTATAGATGAACGCAAAAAGGTTTGGAATGACAAACAACTGCATGGTCGATTTTTAAAGCATTGACTAATCCTTGTTCAGACATGGTTGCATCAGTACATTGGTTACAATTTGGTGACCTTTTTGCAGAAACTGAAGGTTTTATCTGTGCAATACAAGATGAAGTAATTAAAACGAACAACTACCGGAGATACATTCTGAGGGACGGCACAGTTGACGTATGTCGCGCATGTCACCACCCTGGAGAGTCCCTCAGACATGTTATTTCCAGTTGTTCACAACTATCAAATGGTGAGTATATGCACAGATATAACCAAGTAGCTAGAATAATACACCAACAGCTTGCCATTAAATTTGGCTTTACTCAACAGGACGTTCTATATTATAAGTATGAACCAAAGCCAGTCCTTGAAAATAGAAGTGTCACGCTGTACTGGGATCGGTCAATTATCACAGACAGGTTTATAGTGGCAAATAAACCTGACATTGTGGTGACAGACAGAACTACACACAAGGCAATAATAGTGGATATCAGTGTTCCTCACGACGAGAATCTCGTAAAAGCAGAGAATGATAAAAAAAAATATCGACTTGGCTCATGAGATTGTCGTTATGTGGGACGTTGATTCTACTATTATTGTACCAATAGTTGTATCAGTCATTGGACTTATTGGTAAAAATATGGACGATTATCTGTCCAAGTTAAGTTTGGGCAAATGGCTGAAGGCATTAATTAAAAAATCGGCCTTATTAAATACGGCTCGAATAGTAAGAAGGTTCCTATCTTTGGATGCCTAACTTCACCGATGGCTTAGAATTCCTCGCCGCGGTGGATAATAACTGAAATAATAATATTATTTATATAGATTGTATTTATATTTATAATATTATAGTTTTGTGACAATGTATGTGATAATATAATAATAATAATGGGTGATTCAGAAGATGATGAAATGGTCCCCCACGAACTAGAGCAAATGAGGAGTATATTGGAAGAGGCGATTTTGGAAACGCGCAGCATGCCTCTCGAAAATCGACCGCGACTTCCCCGCATACCCCTAAGCAAGCGAAATCGGGCTGTCGTGAAGGCTCTTAACCCAATGCTGGTAACCTATTTGGAAGCCAGCCGGGACCTTTGCGAGACGGACTCAGTTCTTTTTGGCGCCGCAGTGGCAGCTTGCTGTATTATTGGCGCCAAACCTCCCATGGCTGGACGCGCTACTAAACAAAGTAGCGCCATCCCAGCCAGGAGAAAAAGAATTGAGGACCGTATCGCAAAGGCAAGGGCCCTTATCGGCAGACTGATAAGCTTCAGGTCGGGTAATAATAGACCGAGGGTTGTGCGCACCGTTAGAATGGCGTTTGCTGGGACAAATATCAGTTTGTCCCAGCCGGATATCACGCAGAAACTAACGGAGCGCACAGACGACCTGAAGCAAAAGATTTCTGCTTGTCTGCTTGGGGGAAGCGGATTCGCCGATTTACCGAGAGGTCAAGGCGGTTCAACCAGAATCGTCTCTTCCAGAGTGATCAGAAGAGGCTCTACAAATCATTGGAGCGACCAGAGGTATGTGGAGCGGGCCCAGGACCGGATCAGGCTAACACTGTCGCATTTTGGCGTGGCCTGTGGTCAGAGCCCGTAAACCACAGCGAGGGCCCTTGGACGGAAGTTGTGGCGAGTCAGTGTGCGAGTATTACGCCCATGGACCCCGTCATCATAACGCCGGATGACGTAGCTGAGGCGGTCCGTAGAGCCCCGAACTGGAAAAGTCCGGGACTCGACGGACTGCATCACTACTGGCTGAAGGGGTTCATGGTGTGTCACGCTGTGCTCGCCCGTCAGTTTCAAGAGGCTCTCAACCAGAAATCGCTCCCTAGCCTCTTCACTACTGGGATCACTCATTTGGTTCCTAAAGACCAGGTTACCACAGACCCGAGCAAATACCGCCCCATTACGTGTCTACCCACCATATATAAGACACTGACATCCATTTTGAGCGCGAGAATCACTCGTCACCTAAGGCTAAATCAGGTGATGTCACGCGCTCAAAATGGATGTCGGGGCGGTAGTCGTGGAACTAAGGAACCACTCCTCATTGACGCGGTCATTGGCAAAGTGGTGAAACGCAACCGTCGGAACTTCTCCGCCGCCTGGATAGACTACAGAAAGGCATTCGACTCGGTGCCCCATACATGGCTAAAGAGAGTCCTCGAGCTGTACAAGATAGACTGTACAGTGAGAGACTTCCTCGAGCAGTGTATGGGGCAGTGGAGTACGATCCTTTGTCATCTGGGTGAGCAGATGATGGCTGCGGAGAACCACATAAGGGTAAGAAGGGGTATCTTCCAGGGCGATTGTCTGAGTCCAATCTGGTTCTGCCTCTCCCTGAACCCTCTCAGTACCTTACTGGAGGGATCCGGGAGAGGATTTCAGCTACAGAAAGGAGGGACAAAAGTGACCCACCTTTTCTATATGGATGACCTCAAGTTATTCGCCTCCAGTCGCTCCCATCTTGTGGAATTGCTAAAAATCACTTGTGAGTTTAGCAGTTCCATTGGAATGGAGCTGGGGACGGATAAGTGTGCGGTTTAAGGTTTTCTTACCGCCTTATCAAAGTTTTAACTAATTTCCGAATGTATTAATATATACTTTCACGAAAATGTAAAACTTCATTTATAAATATATTTTAGTAACATTTTTGTATTAATGTAAATTTTACTGTTATTGCTTAACGATTTATTCAAAGCGAACCCACTATTAAGGTCCTAGTTTATATTTCGGTATTTTTTTTTCAAGTACCTGAGGTCTTGGTCTAAGCCTGGGGTACATTTGTAGGACCGGCCCAAGAATTGTGATTTTGTCTCTTAATCTGGGTACCGGAACATGTTTGTTAGCTAATCGGAAGTGAGCGCCAGTGAAAAGACAGCTCATTAGTCTAGCCTCGCCATTGCTCGTCTCGCAGGCGAGCGCCAACGTGTAAACAGTTCTTTTGGTGTGCCAAGCCACTACTCGGGATTGCTCGCCACGAATTGTCTCATCTTTTAGCCTTAGGAACGGTGTCGGTTTGCATAATTAGATCAATTTTACAACCTGCGCCTCTATATTTATCGCCACTTATTTATTGTTCTGCTACAGTCAATATGAATTTGACCTCATTTTTCAGGGCATAGATGAAAGACTCAAAGAGCGTAATAATCTTTTGAGTGGATATTGTTCAGTCTCTTCTTTTACCGATCCTTGACTACGCGGACACTTGTTATCTTGACCTAACATACGAGCAACTTAATAAACTTGAGCGGCTTCAAAATTATTGCATAAGGTTTATATTTGGGTTACGAAAGTATGACCACATATCCGAATTCCGCCATAAGCTCAAGTGGCTCCCGATTCGTCTTCGCAGGAATACTCACATTCTTCATCTTCTTTACTGCATTCTGTTCAACCCGACCACTCCTTCTTATTTGAAAGACCGATTTATATATTTAAGTAGTTTACACTCTTTACCTCTACGATCTCAAAATAACCTCCTTCTAAGTACCCCTAGTCATTCCTCTTCCTTCTATTCTAATTCTTTTACGGTTACCGCTATACGACTATGGAATTCTCTCCCCTTACATATTAAAAAATCTAAATCTCTTCCTATATTTAAAAATAAATTAAAACTTTATTACCTTTCCTCTTAAGTTACTACCTGTCGTCATTCATTTTTTTTCTTCTTTAATCATTTATGTTCTTCTATTTATCTTTCTTTATCATATTCTGTACACCCCTTCCGCTATCTTTTAAAATAGTATCCTCTGCCCTAAGGTTGCCTGGAAGAGATCGCTGTTTTAGCGATAAGGCCGCCTGTTGTACCAATGTCCCTTTAAATATATAAATAATGTAATATGTTCCTTGGTGTACAATAAAGTATATTTTACTTTTACTTTACTTTTATGTTAATGCTGCTGCACTCAAAATCTACAAGCTATAATATTCAATCATGCAATTGTGCTATTGAGTCTCAGTAGCTCAATGGTTAAGTGGCGGCCTACAATCCGAAAGGTTGTAGGATCTTTAAGCGGGACATAAGATTATTGTGGCACATATTTCTAGATCAAGCGTAACGCTTTTTTCTGAGGGAAAGGGAAGAATGATAGACGAATAAACTACTAATTATTCGTCTCTATATTAATTGACGAGATCGGATGATCCATTCTATAATGACGTCATTTCTAGTGATAAAGGGCTTATCCCTCTATCCTTAGCCAACGAGCAATGGCAGGACCCAGCAGTACTTAGCATTTCCGACCGGGAGACCGTATGGAAGGAGAAGGAGCTCCACGGGAGGTACTACAAGGCTCTACCTGTGCCCTTCGTAGATACAGTCGCCTCCCTCAACTGGCTACGTTTCGGTGACCTCTTCGGGGAAACCGAGGGTTTTGTCTGTGCAATACAGGATTATAGAACTCTGGCTACTAGGTTGTGCCTGTGCAAGTACTCAGAGTTAGAAAGCGCCGAACAACCGGAGATGACATGCCTAAGTGACTCCCCGGGATGGCGACAAGCTCGACAGACGTCGACGGTGCCATCCTGTAGGATGTATCTCCGATAGTTGTTGGTCTTAATAACCCTGCTCACTCAATGATAAAAGTTCCTGAATAACCTACATGTATTGTAAGATATTAAAAATATTTTAAACAATATTAACTTCTCATTTATTCAATAAGAGAAAAAAAAAATTGTTTTCTTATCGGTCACCACGCTCAAAAAGTGTAACTTGATTTAATATCAAAGACTTAACTGCATAAATAAAATAAATAAATAATTATAATTGCATAAGTTGATAAAAAATGCTATGCAATAGCTTTACCGCGGCAGTCACCGAGTGCCACACGTATTTTTTTTATTTATCATATTTTAAATATTTTTACAAGTTTTTAAATAAATTTATTTATTCTGAAAGACAATATTTTGCCTTAAATTTACTATGTTATTGGTCTAACGTCTGAAATGTATTCATATTAACATTATGTTTATTAATGTAATTTTATTGCTTAATATATATATATATATATATATATATATATATATATATATATATATATATATATATATATGTATACTATTTTTGATGCCCCTTTATATTGAATTCAATTATTAATAATAATATTGGGCCGTCACAATATGCAGAAGAAACAGCGTTGGCGATAGCACGCGGTCTCTTGGAACACCAGCATTAATAGGCTTGTAATCGGAGCTTGCTCCGTCTCCAATGACCTTGATGCTCCGATCTGCAAGAAAGCTGGTGAGCCAATCGCACAATTTCTCGGGAAGCCCATAGGAAGGGAGCTTCGAAAGAAGCGCTTTGTGCCAAACGTGATCGAAGTCCCAACTAACGGCCAATGCCTCCCCTTTGGACTCTACTGCCTCCGCCCATCTGTGAGTTAGGTAGACCAGAAGATCACCAGCTGACGGACCACGGCGAAAACCGTATTGGCGATCACTAATCAGCTGGTGATCCTCAAGTTACATCATGAGCTGGCAGTTAACAATAGACTCCATTGTTTTGGAGAACAAGGAGATGATGGCGATAGGCCGGTAGTTGGACGGGTCTGATCGGTCGCCTTTTTTAGGGATCGGGTGGAGGAAATTCGTCTTCCATGATTTTTAGGACTACGCTTAGGGAGTAGCAGTACCGGAAAAGACGCATTAAAGCTGATGCCAACCAGCTTTAATACGTGCAACAGCAAAGCTGCCGCATGGCTCTACCACTGTTAAAGAATATAAGAAAGTGTCCCTTTTGAAAATAACAATTATTTGCAATTAAAAAACTCCGTTTAAACAATATGGCACCGAGTTGCCCTATGGCAACATACATTTATATCATCAGTAGGACAATATTTTGAAAAATCGCATAAAAAATTCAGATGGAATAGTTTTCGGTACCCATGCGCAGATATCTCCTGGACTATTTAGGAATAGTCCTAGTCCTAACTATGTTAGTTCCTAAGCTTCGGCGCCACAGTTTACCTCAACTCTTTGATAGAATGGATTGTTCTTATTTTGAAAATGCTTTTACCATATGCTGACGTAAGAGAATCTGTTACGACCAATGTTCGACCCAAGAATCGAATGTAGCAAAAAATCACACTTTAAGGAAGCGTTTATAAGAATCGTTTGCAACAGTATTCGATATACTATAT